GTATCGCTTGCTAATTCCCGAGCTGAGCTCTGATTGGCTCGCTACTCCCTCTGGATTTTGGTGACGTCATATATTAGCATAGAACTTCACCGAATAGACTACCCCAATTAGATATTAGATATCTATAAGTGTCCTCATAGTACGATGGTCTAAGAGGGTAGCTAAAGGTATGCTCTAGTGGGCGGCTACCCCCTCACTCCCTGGCCTTTTGGTTAAGACTAAGTTTTATGTTCACTCGGGATAGCGTGGGAGAGCCGAAATCTCTAACCGTAACGTAAGCCGATTCGACGCCTCAGCTTCATAGAATGTCTCGGGGGAATCGTCCCATCCTTTTAGTTTTTTTATTTTCATCATTTCTTATGTATTCCGGGGGGTGCATCTTCTACTGAAGTGAAAGTCCTGAGTTCGAATCCTGTTGCTGGAATTTCTCTTTTTTTTTTGTTTCTTTTTCTTCTGTTTCCTGTTTTCTTTTCTTCTTTCTTTCTTTTTCTTTTCTTATTTTTTCTTTGCCATTGTTTTCTTTTCCTCTACACTATAGATTTCTCTTTTCAACTTTGAACATATCAAGGACTCGAAAGGAACGCCTGCTACAAGTGGATGGTTACGATTCGGTCTCTCAACCGATGACATAGTGACGAGAGTCCCATAAGGCCTTTCGTCACAAAAACTGAATCTTTATTCTGAATGAATACATACTAAGTACTAGTTGTAATCATTCTGGACTCGTGCGAAACAGTCATTAAACATTATTTCAATTGTTTTACAGCCTTGGTACACAGCATACAGATCAGGTTAGCGCGCACCCAGTCCCCTCATGAATCGTACATACTTTTTGTCATTAATGAAAAAAAAAAATTGTACAACTTAATTATACAGCTATTTCAAAAAACGTTGTCGGGGAGAACGGCTAACGGCGAACAGTCGAAAAGGGARATTGCACGACCGAAAGGGACTTTGGTTACACTGTTTTGATAAACAAAATCTGATTTCACTTATTGGATTTACCTTACTTAGAAATGGAGACTAGACCCTATATGTAGCCAATGTTTACCACAGATCATATTGCAACACAAATCAGTTTTTATTGCCTTTCAACAAAACCCGCTACTTTCGGTCGTGCAATCGCCGTTCGACAATTGACATTCGCCACTTTATCCGACAAACTTTTTTGAACTAGCTATATTTTACTTCATAAGGGTTGAATCTTTCAACTTGTATTCTTTGTATTCATATATGTTATTTACCGGCTTGGAGGTCCGTATAGGAAAACCATGTCCGAGGTCTTGACAGTACGGACCGACTATACGAACCGACCTGTAGCCGGTAAATAACATTTACATTTTTATTTGTTTTTCTTCAACTTTGCTCGCAGCCCAGCTGCAGTATACCGTGGACAGTATACCGGACCGCGCGCTGGCCAATCAGAGCGTGTGAATGACTAGGATACTGAACCAAAAAAATAAATTGAATTATTTTGCATGGGATATGGTCCACGAGCAACCCACATTCCGACGCATTTAATGTGACCGATTGCCCACCAACACTTGTTTTGAGAAACGTTCTCAGTTTTTTCAAGTTGATCATGTGAATTAAAGTAATATAGAAATAAAGGAAAGTTATAGTGCTAAGAAGAAGGTAGTTCCGGGAGAAAGACCCTTGGAAAGTGAATTAAAGTAACGCAAGGGATATATATGAAGTTCATTACAAAAATCATTTAATGTTTTCCAAAGTTGTAACAACAACAGAAGAGTGAGCTTGGTTATGGGAGTAAAACGCACTGCGATTTGACTCCGCTATATAAATAATCATAAGAATCACGCATGCGCCTTAGACCTCAAAACAGGAGTATTTAGCTGTACAAAAACGTATGTACAATAGATGTAAAATTTATAAATAAACTTATAGAAACTGTATGTAGGGACATTACCCTCAAGGTCCTACTGTACACTATATAATTTGGTCCTGCTATGTTATACTGATTTAAAATACTCTACTATAGAACATTTACGTTAACGTGGACAATCACGTACAGTCCCTTTTACACGTTACATATGTCAAACTCTTTATACGGTACCGTGGTTAATTACGTTATGTGGTTACGTAGCCATACGTTAGGTTACTACTGATTGTTCAGAGCCGTTTTAGCCACTACGTACACGTAGACCTTCAGATACCACAAAACTCTTACGGCATAAAATCAATGCGATGCCGTTGTGTGCGTTACGATAACGTAAGTCGATAATGCACGTCGTACATGAAAGAAAAATCGCAATTGGATTTGAATAACTAGCGTTATCCATAAGAAGCGGCAGCACTTTTAGCTATTACATCTGGAAAAAAAGAATTAAAAATACGAAACTTCGAAGCTAAATACATTAGACACAGCTCACAATTAAACTTAATCATGTGATATATGTAACGAGTTACTGGGAGACGCAAGGGGAAAGTAAATAAAATACGCTCATATTTCATCCAAAACCATCCRATGACTACCAACGCAAACTTAACGGAAACGCGTCCACGCGCATCAAAGGCTTGCGTAAGGTTGCGGTTTTGGAGTTGCTATCATCTATCAAAGGCCCATATAAAAGTATTATTATCATCTTCTGATGTCTTTCTGTGTGGTGATAGTTCCGATAAACACGCTGCTATTGCATGAGCTGCCTCAGAATGGGACATGGCGACTTCTGACAGAAGTCGTTCGTGTCGTCGTAGATGACTGCGAAAAAAAAGACAAGTTAGCAATTAACATGATACTATGATTGTGAGAGCTCGTAGTCATCTCTATGGAAAATTGTATGTACGCGTTTTACACTTAGTTGTTTTCCAACTACCCTCCCCCGCAGGCGTCTTCCTTTCTCCTCTTCATTCTACTCATGAACTTCCTGTATTCCTCAATGTCCTTATCAAGAGGATGCCAAAGGGACCCAAGTGTTGTCTGCGGGGGAGGCTAGGGTTTTAGCATGCAAAAGCCCTTTCATACCTTCTAGCAATGGCTGAGTATTGTGCTATATTTCTCAGTACAAGAGCAGACGTTAATCGAACAGTTTTGGTCAGCGGTGACTCTTCCTCATCCTAGAAAGAAATCACCATGGTAACACACGTGTATGCTTTACCGGAGAAAAACAAGCTTTTCTAATTGCTTGACATTCTAAACTATTCAACACCCTAAATACATGTACCTGCATGGCCGACATCATACGAGAAAGTAATTTATAAGCTGGAAAGTAATTTGGTGGATTCTGTTGACTAGATGGTGCTTGGGGCACCTGTGGTGAAGGCACTGGTGGGACCTGGGGTTGAGGATTCACTGTTCCAACAGTCACTGGTGTGGGACCACTGTGCTTTTGCTTCGGAGACAAACAAGTTATTGTTACTGTTATTCTTGATCAAAATTGAACTTCGCACATTAAAAACCTTGAAGCGCGTTTATTTACTCCAAAGATTTGATCACGAAAATAGTCAATAATGGGCGTTTTTTTGAGTAAGCTCACCCAATTACACACTCATGCAAGCGTGAATTACTAGTCGCGTCACAAGGATTTTCTGTATATAGTCACAAAACTAGCGGCAAATATACCTGTAAATGGAAAAGTAAAGATGATCTTGATCTTCGCACTGGTGCACAATTCTCCCACATACATGACATCACGAGGGTATCACGTGGAACATGCGTGCTGATCACGTGAGAAAACAGCTCTTTACCGCCATCAAATGAACTAGAAAAACAAACATGAATTAGACACACACAAATGTTTAAAATATTAAACGAGAGCAAGTACCTTGTACAACTAGCCCATCTACAACGAAATGGTTTGAAGGTTTCAACGGCAGTATCTGCAACAGGCTGCTGTTCCGCTGACTGTGATGATATACCTGTGACAGATTGGGCCGTTGGTGCCSCAGGTTGTCCTGGGATAGCTTGTGTAATTGGCCCCCCAAGCTGTCCTGGGATAGCTTGTGTGATTGGCGACCCAGSCTGTCCTGGGATAGCTTGTGTAATTGGTGCATCTKGCTGTCCAGGAATAGTATTTGGTACTGTAGATACTTGGTGAGCATATTGTTGTCTGTTATCTKGTTGTTCTGTACTCGGCATTTTAGGGGTAACAAGTGCTTTGGTTCTATGTTCTAAGATTGCATTAAGATGTTGTTGTGCTGGGGGTCGAGGTCCAGCACTCTGAGTAACTGAATTATAACTTGGTGGAGGAAGAGGTCGCGTTGTAGAACCATTCCAGGTTGTGTTAGGCTGTCCTTGGAAACCATCATTACCATAACGACCACCCATGATGTCATTAGAATCTGAAGGGCGTGGTTGACCTGTCCGAGTWGTTGATGTCATATGTACTTTGTCATGAAGATTGTTAGGAAATCCTTTATTTGGTAAAGTTTCATTCCTAGGTCTAATAGGTAGAGTACCAGGATTCCTCAATTCTTGAGCGACAGCATGGTAYCCCAARTCTGGTAAACTTGGAATAGTTTTACTTTGGTCAGTACTTTTAGACTTGGGATCGGTCTCCATAGAGTCAATACGTATATCACCTAGTATAACATCACTAAATAACCCAGTATCTGTATCACTCTCCTCGAGGTATTTCCCAAAATCTGAGTTGTTCTCACTATCAAAGATATCAGGAGAAGATGTCTTGCTGTTGCTTCCACTAAGTCGTTCACCCTCAGGTGCTATCAGGTCCAAATCAGAAGAATTGATATCACACATGCCATTAAGTGGCATATGTAGATCTTTACCTAGTAATTTATCCATAAGTTTATTTCTGGGGTCGTTGCGTATATCTCCATTGACCATGGGTTCATCTAAGGTAGAGTCTACTATATCACTTGGTGAGTTATCATCTAAACGCGTTCTTTTACAACCATTGATACCATTCTGATCTATTTGACTAGTATTCACTAACCCCTCCGAGTTCAAGTTTGCGTGTCGACTCTTATAGTCTCTCTTTAAACCCGTACTRCCTTCAATATTGTTTTCATAAGGTGCACCACCRTTTTCCTGTTTTTTCAGTGTTGTATTTTTCTGAGTATTGTTGGTATTTTCGACCACAACTATTTTTTGTTCTTCTGCATTTTGTAATAAGTCTGAYGTGAGAATGTCTTCTGCTTTCTCTTCTCTTGCTATGAGAACAACACCATCTGTTGAGCCTTGTTTCTTTTGGTTAGTTGAAGGAGTGACTGTTGTGCTGAAATACAAGAGATTGTCTGTTAGCTTAGCCCCTGTCATCATAAATAAATGCTAGTGTATATAATGATAGTTCTACCTTGGATAAATGCTCGGTTTTGGTGCGATTGCAATAGGTTGGTTCCCCCTATAGCCACCAGCTCCTTGATTAGGGACTATTTGGGGTGGTGCTTGTCTGGGCTGCCCCATGAAGGTCTGAGGCGCTTGTGACCTTGGCACTTGCTGAAAACCCTGAAATTGTTGGCCTCCCTGTGGAAATGGACTTTGTTGTTTCTGGGGCCTAAATTGGTTTGGTCTCTGAGCTCCCATCAATGAAGGTCCATTGTGTAATCTKATGTTAGGTCCTGGTCCTGGTTGAGAGGAAACAGGTGCTGGACTTTGCATTGCTACATTTGGTGGTGCTGGTCTAATAGGTACTAAACCAGATTGAGAGTACATRGGAGTTCTAGGKGCTATTCTTGCTTGGCCAGGTGACCCAGGCCTTGTCATCATATTTGGTGCTTGAGGTAGTCTGGGTGGTTGCTGAGGCTGTGGCCGYAGTAGTGGTTGAGATCCCTGTGTTTGTGAGTTTTGTGTTACTATACCAGGTAATTGTCCAGGTGATCTTGGTTGTATTGCTTGAGGTCGCCCTACTATGCCTGGATTATTAATTGGTGTATTAGGTTGGTGATGAGGTACAGGTTGTTGGAAATTCTGCTGCTGCCACGGTTGTTGTACTKGTTTTTGCATAGCTGTATGGTTGATGGGTTGTTGAGGTGTTAACTGTCCAGGCAGTCTTGTACCATCATTGCTAACACCGGGCGTCCCCTGGAAACCTGGCCTGAGCAATGGATTTGGGKTTTTTTGAATTAGATTTCCTTGACTAAACACCCCAGTAGGGGAGGGTGGTGCTTGACGTGTCATGTTGAGAGATCTTTGYGGTAGAGCTTGGTTCCAGTTTGGTGAATTTCTTCCTGGAATAGGTGGTGTAGGTGTTCTTGGTTGTACAGGAGTAGTGGGTGTTTGTGGTTGATCTATAGTTGATGCTACTGGGAGAGGATTGGCTCTTCTACGCATACCACATAGAGCATACTGTAGCTGGTTGCCAGTTGGGAATCTTCTCAACTGGGCATCAGGAAAAACAAACCTACAACAGCAACAAATTCTAAGAACATGTTTACTTACTGACAAATGAATGGTTTCTAGAAATACAACTTACTTGACTATTCTATTAAAAGCTGAAGCATTCAATATTCCTATTCTTGCAAGACGACTACATGAAGACAGGTAATCAGCATAAAGATCAATCCTAGAGACTGTCCCTGATGGTATAGCTTCATATGTTGCTTGTAGCCTAATACAATATTGCAAACATTACAGTGAGTATTATTGAAGATTGAATCAAATAGTTTGCTCAAATTTCATTAAAAGTTATTGTAGTGGAGGTGATTTTCATTCATGAAAAAGTCTTGTTTATTGACCATTACAAAGAGACCTTACCATTTTACAGTAAATGCTTCAGCATCCACTTCATTGCGTGATGACGGCACAGAGGGAGTATGAGGCGAGACAGGCGATGCACTTCCTACTGTAAGAAATAATCAAAACATTTGAATTTCCAACATCACAGGGACTGTTTTCAAGCTACCCTCACAAAATTTGCATGTGAAGTAGAGTCATGCTTGGACAATAACTTGATAACTCTTGCATTCTTAAAAATTAATAATTCTAGACAAAGTGATCACACAAAAAATACCAAGGCAACCATAGGTATAAATCTGACAAATCCCATTTTTGACCAGTCACTATCTATGAGAAGGCTATCCTAAGGAACTAGTAGTGACCACCCATCAATTCAAGCTTCTTACATTATATGTACACTAACGTTTACAAAACAGTTATTGAGAAGATTCTTCCTAGCGATAGTTACCTGTAGGAGTGTGTGTAGGGCGTGGTCTAGGGGTCATAGGTAATGACCCTGGTATTCTATTCTCTATAACTACAACTTCAGATAAGGCTTGTGGACCAAAGCTCTCAGCATCAAGGGTGACCATACAAACTAGAATATCTACACAAATAATAAAAGTTGTCACTAAAAGCCATATTCAGACATCAATATTAATCCTTATTCTGTTAGAAATGAAGTTTGAAAACTGAAACATGAACAAAATTGTCCATACCAACACTACGGTCTACACTTGCAATCTGATCAGATGTAGTTTGCCCTACTCCAGAGATATTATACAGTGCCTCTAGTGAACCAATAACAAGCTGAAAAACATATAGCCATWAGCAGGTTACATGGACAAGCAGAAACAAMAAGGRAMATTTGGCTCTGATATCATAGACAGTGCATGRGCAATTAGTGCCAAATGGTGAGGTTTTTTTACTATCATGGCTATTGACAACTTAAACTTGCACAAAAAATGAAGTCTGCTCAGGTGTATACAGCTGTCTTGTCTTACATCCTTTTTGTAAGAATGAGCAGGAGGTTGTTKGCAAGTACTGTTACCGRGTGGAGATGATGAATTAGTAGTTGTTCATATTGATATAAGTTGTTGTTGTTGCAACATTCGTTGATATGATATTTACCTGTACATCAGGGATGATTAATATTCTTACTAAAGACTCATAAGCTTGGGTTTCTATTGCCATTTCAACTACTTCATCATTATCTTCTCTGACGCACAGTTTACCAAGAACATCCATTGCTAAAATATGAACAGTTACGTCACTTGGTTGAACAGTCATGATTGTAATAATAATGATAATAATGCTTAGAATTTCTTTGTACGCAGGCACTTGTTTATAATTAGTGTGCACCCATTTTATGTCTTAACTAGTTTCCTCTTGAGCACTTTACTGTTAGCTGTGTATTATGTGTACTAACAACCTTGAAAATGGCATCTTAGGCCAAAAGCTCGGTTAATCATAAATAACCTTATTTAYGCAGAAGAARCACYATCTTTATTTATAAGGATAATAATGTCTAAACAAATGGTTAGTACCTTTACAAACTTTAAATCTGTCTTTGTCATCCAAAAAATAATGAAGAATCTGGAAAACCATTTGTGTATTTTCACATTCTACTGGATCTAACTTCATCTGCAGAAAAACAATACATCAAAAATTCATCAACAACCATCCATATGAAAACATATCATGAAAAAACATTTCAAAACAATAAATCAAGATATCTCTAATAAATTTATAAAAATTGTGTTTGTAGCAATACATGCACCTGAATATTTTGATGTAATGTAAATATAGCTGTACTAACATTATACTAAAAACTCATCAACAACCATCCATATGAAAACATATCATGAAAAAACATTTCCAAACAATTAATGAAGATACCTCTAATAAATTTATAAAAATTGTGTTTGTAGCAATACATGCACCTGAATATTTTTTATCAGCTTTGTCTCCCAGATAAGAGAGAATCAAGAGCTGCTAGGTATCTCAGCATGTTATATATTTGTCACTGGTGATCAACACCCCACTCACTCAATGTGAGCTCATAGTATTATTTTGACTTACCTTTTCTGCCAAATTTGATATGGTACTCCATGCTAAGTTTTGTATATATCCTATTTGGTTGCATATACATAACATTAAAAATCTGAAACAAAAAATCAACATTGTGAGTGTTTTTGTTGTTAAGTCTATAATATACTTACAGTTAAGGTGAGAAGACCAGTACTACAACCATTCACAAGAGATCTATAATTGACTTCTCTCAGGAAGTGGGCACAGCCTACTCAATACTGTCACTGCTAACAGTCTACAAAAACAATCTTTATAAATGACTTACCTCAGGCACATTGGATGACTTGCTAGAATATCAGCATTTGCATCATCAAATGAGAAATTGTATAATATCATGCACACCTGAAAACAAATACTCATCTCATTAACTTTTAACATTTTTGAATATTCATTTATTTTTTCACAAAAATTGTTGAGATTAGAAGTATTTTTTGTAATATTCAAAATGTTTTAGTAAAGAAAAGTAACTGTGGGTACTAAGTAATGGAATGATTGCTGTACCTGTGCAACTCTCTGTGCTTCTATACTGTTGACACCATATTTTTTACCAGGATTAAACAACTCAATCTCATCATCTTCCTCAGTTCTTCCTGGAAAATCATATTTCCAAGCACACAGTAAGGATATGGTATAACAAATTACTAGCTAGAATATTGAGTATATTGAGCATCCACATAAAACATGACACTTGGATATCTATAGTCATTACATTTACTAGAGAAGAGATATTTTAGCAAGTATACAGTACTTATGCAGTTTCAAAAGCTTAAAATATCAATTATTACAAGATGCTTACCTTCACCATTAAATAACAAAGCTCTAAAGTCTTCAATTTCAAGAGTTTCTCTCCAAAACTAAAAGGCATAAAAAAAACATGCTCAAACATCGTATAAGTTTGGTACTAGATATAATGTTATACAAACATGTATAATATGTACAATATGAATACAGTTGAAGATATACCTTGGTATAATCTCTTTCTGTCTTCTGGTACCAATCAGAGTAAACATCACCTAAACCATGTGATCCATCCACAAAGATACCAACATGACCCATCAACATGTCAATGATGGCTGGTGCCTAACAAACAAGACAACAAACTTTATTATTGCCTTTGTTGCATGTATAAAAGCTTTAAATTATCGCCATTAATTATTTTTT